CTATACATTAATAGCTGTTGGTTCAGAAGAGAAATTCTGCACTTTAGTGACATCATACATTTCGCTCCTGTTGGGCCGGCACCCACTGACACCGAAACCATTGGCAAATCGCCCATCAACGTAGCAGAGGCCAGAATCTGGCCCTTTATTTCATGCTGAGGACTATGATTGTAAACCATACAGGCAACTTTGGCAGGCCCGGTTTTACCTGATCAGCGGGGCTGTTACTTTTATGCCCCGTTTTTTTTTCAATGGGCAGATAAGCCTCATAAAAACGTCGGTTGCCAGGAGAAATGGGTCAGATTCCCCTAAGAGTAAGCCCAGTGCAAAAGAACCACAAGAAATATTTAATTTCAAAATGTTCTGAGGCGCGAAAAGCCACGAAAAATAAATATTTTTAAGAGTTGAAAATAAATCATTAACAATACATCGGGGGCGGGGGGGGCGCACAACCAAAGCAAAACAAAAACAAAAGAGAAAACAAAGGGGAAAAAACACTTCACGCAACAACTCATCGTTTAGTTTCAAAGTAAAAGTTTCTTCAGCCCAGCCTGATTGTGTTCAGATGGCTGTAGAGATAATGCCTGTCAGAGCATCTCCTTCATACACTACACTTTGCATTTAATACATATTTTAAAAACAGGCCACATTAATTACCCTTTTGTTTACTTTCAATCAGATAAACTAATGCAGAGAGAGGAGAGAGAGCGCAGAGAGAAGAGAGTGGGTGCATTTTATGACTGTCCTGATTGGATTGGATTCGCTTTTACCAACAACAATAATAACTACTGAAGTAATCGACAAGTTGAGAGTAAATGACCAAAACAAAAATATACACTCGAGTATATTATTTATAAGTGCTGCTGCGAAACAAAAAAAGTTTGGGAAACAAAAGCACTAAGAGAAACTCCCGAAGAGCGGTGTCCTGGAGTTACGTTATTAGGTCACTAACAAACTGAAATGAACTCAGCCACTTCAGCTACACCTTTGATATGAAGCAGAAAAAGTTTGTTCCCTCAAAGTTCCCAGGTGTGTGTACGGCGCAGCACGGCGGGACTCGGGGAAACCCACTTTCTCCGGGAAAAAAGGACTTCGGTAAAACCTGCCAGAGCACCTGGCTGAGGAGACGTCATTCCCTGCTCCCTTTTCTTAATTAAAACTATTTTCTTGATCTCGTATATACACCTTTCTCTGAAAGTATAAACAATTACGTGCCTACCCTAAGAAAGCCCACTAAGTAACTTGCGATAGCAAGTTATTAGCCGGTTTAATCAAATGAATACAGGACAACTTAAAATCCCTAAACCAAGTAACGGGAATTAATTTAATAAGGAGGGACAGCTCAAACATTGATTTAAAACAGCATGCGAAACCCCAGTGTGGTTACCAAAGGGGAATATATTTTTTAGAAGTCCATGAGTCGATTTCATGACTTCTTGTTAGTGTGAGATATGGAGCGAAGCATTCAAACAAACTTACTTTGCTGGCAAAATAATAGATATATATTAATTAGACATCATTTCTAAAGTTCTTATATGGTAGCTCAGAGGCCAACGAAGGTAGAATTTCGGCAGCACATTTTACATTTTCCGTGCATAAAAAATGCTACATTTATGTCGCTATTATTTTTTTTTAAAAATCAAGCTTTTTAAACCAAACCTTTAAATCAGAGTTTAAATCTCACAAATAACTTTTAAACTGTTGGTTCCGAAGCCATTTTCTCCATGTTAAGTTATTTTAAACATTTAAAAGTATTTAAATTAATGTTATGCCAACACATTCACTATCTTTTTATCTCTAATTGACCAGAAGCCTCCGATAAAAAGACATAGTATATATAAAGCTTTGACCTTACCTGAAACCTAATGTGCTCGCATCCAGAAACAACCAGATGACATTTCGTGTTAATCACCAATTTGCCAGAGAAGAGAATATTTCTACCTTTGTACACATTGATACATATATGCAATTTGACCATTTACTGTGATTTTGTTTTTCGATGGGAATCATAGGAGGAACAGCTGGTCAGACAGAAAGATATTGTCAACTTTGCTCCAAACCTTGCCATAAAAGGAATGAAATTCTTCAGGAGACAGTCAGTGTTTACCTCCAAGTTCCCTTTGTAAAAGCAGTCGCCATGAGCAGTTAGAACAGAGCTGACTCCCCAGCGAGGCCCTTGTACCTGCACTCTGCAATAAAACTGCTAATATACTTTTTTCTGTGGCAACTTCTCTTGGTGTCATCTTAGAGCTGTCTCAGATTACACTGTTTGGGATCTGCACTTTAAGCAACTGTCTTAGGGATTTGAACTGCCTTTGGAACTAAAATGCAGGCAAAAGTCATTCAGCTTAGCATCCCCGATTGCTTTTCTTGTATGTACAATAATAATTTTTGCACTACTTCATGTTCTGACTGCCGGGGACAGAAATATTAATTTGGCTCACTCCCAAGATTGGCGGTTCTTCTTATTGTATTTCTTTCCGATCCTCCCCAGCTACTGGTGGTAAAAGGACGTTGGTGTGAGAAAAAAATGCTTTGATACCAAACAGCAAATATGGCGAAGTCTTGGTTGGATTTTTCCCCCTTTCTTTCTTTCCTTTTTTTCCAGCCTGCTGTGCCACTGCATCCACACTTCATGGTACTCAAGCATGAACTCCTATTTACAACAGGGAAAAATGCCCTCAACAAATCTCATACATCTACATGCAATACCAGGGGTTATGGTGTGTGTGTATTCGTGGGGGGGGGGTAATGCCTATTCTGGTTTAGGTCCCCCTTTTACGAAAATTTGTGATGCCCTTAATCTGATTTCCTTATAAAAGCAATTAAATTTGGAAATGTGGATTTTTTTCATCCCTTCAGATTTTAATAAACTCTATCTGTCCCTCTCCTCTTTTTGCTTCCCATTATTTGATGTCTGCATTGATTAACAACAGCCGGAAAATCAGTGCGTGGGGAGATGCAAGCGTTTACATAGAGGCATATATTTTAATTTGGGTAAGCTATACAGTGGGTAAATTCCTGCAAGTGTCCTCAAGGGAATTTTTAGATTAAAATGTATAAAAATAATCGAAATATGTTAATCTCAAGACGTAGCTTGTTCACACAAGGAAGTTTATGATAAAAGGCAATAATACAGTGTCATAAAAAAGCTCCATAAATTTGTTAAAGAGCAGTTTGTTTGCATTTCTCCTGATTGATATGTAAATACAGTTTGAACTGTGTTTGCTTGGTCTCTAGTGCTTAATAAAGAGATGAATTCACCTTTCTGTGGAACAAGTAAACAGACTTTAAACTAAGCCGACCTCAGACAAAGTGGAAACGAGTTTATTTAATCGAAACTAAATCTAGTTTAAGAAAGATAAGTCCGTGTACATAATAATCCATTACTGTAATTACACCCACCACCAAATATGTGTTTATGAGGTTGTCCAGGTACAAATAAAATAATTTACTTCTCAAAATCTATTAAGGGAAATTACTAGTTAGTCCCAGATTAAAGGTGCCAGCTTTTTGTTTCGGGCCATTAAAATATGAATGGGATTTTCGAATTGCTCCTAGTTTCCCCAGGTCCCTGCTCCGGACGGATTCTAAACTTCATTTCCAAGGCGATGGACCAAACGCACCACACACCTTGATCATGCAGTTTTAAAGCTGGGAGCCAGGAACTGGGCTCATTTCAGTGCCCAGAATGAAGGGACCCGGATGTCAGCGCTTCCGCCGCTCCGCACCCCGTGCAGAAGTTGGACACGATTTGTCCCTGCACGTCTGTTGGAAAAGACAGCGCTCAGCTCTAGGCTCTGGATGCTGGTATCCATACACAGTTATAAGCCTGCTCTTAACAGAGTAATAAATACCCGCGAGATCTTTTCTGCCCTGGAGGAGGGGTTTCCTATATGAACCAGAGTATCCGATAAGGCTGAAGGGTTCCCGCTGCCACGTGGCATCCCTTAGTTGTAGGAATAAGGAGTCGCTGCCCTTTGCAGTTTCTTTCCTTTTCTTTACTGCAAGCTCCGTGCCCCTGAGTAACGCCAGGACTCTGCTCTAAACGGGCCCAGGAGCCTTCCGCAGCCCAGACTGGGGGCTGCGAGTTTCCACTCCTGCCTGCCTCCCTCTCCGGCTCGGAGCTCCTTCCTCGTGCTCGGGCTTTACAGAGAGCCTCGGCTTTTGGGAGGCACTCCCGGGCGTGTCACTGTCGGGGGGACACAGCTCCAGACGAGACGCCGGGTGAGCTCACTGACGGCGGCAGGAAGGGCTCAGCCTGAGCACTGGGGATTTTCAGAGGCATGCCCACGAGGGCGCGAGAAGTTTGCTGCCAGCCGAGGTCAAGCTGCTTCCCACTGGCGGCTTGCTCTCGTCCTAGCAAACTTAGGAGGTAACTCCTCGAATTCCCCGCGCGCTTTGCTCCCCTCGCGCGTACACACGTGCGCGCCCTGGTGCGGCCGAGGCCCCGCCCGGTGCCCGGCGTCCCTGCCCTGCCTGCTTCCGCGTGGGGACGGAATGCAGGCCGCTCTCGGAAAGAAAGTGAATTCCACCTCCAAGTCTTACACACTGTGGTTTTATTTTGATTAGAAATAAAGATAATCGTCCCCCCTCCCGGGAATACAAGCACGCGGGGAACCCAGGTAGAAAGGAGCTGGTTACAAGTCGCTGCAGCCGGGCGCTCTGTAAAGCCTGTCCCTGGGGTGACTCCTTAGCTTGCTCCTAATGGCAGGGCGCTGGGACGCCCGCGGGCCGCCGGAGCGCCGTCCTCCTCGCCCAGCACGGAGCTCGCTCCGGCCGCCCGGGCTCCGGCCACCCGAGGGCGGCTCAGTGCTTGCCGGCCCCGAGCCTGCTGCGGCTCCCCTGGGGCGTCGGCAAAGCCAGGGTCCGGGCCCTTCTCTGTTTCATGCCGGCTTCAGCATTTCTGAGCAGCCTCGTTTGTTTTCAAACCAAAAGCGAAAGCACCAGGCGGGGAAAAGCGAAGGGAAATAATACTAGCAGTAGCAATAAGAATAATAAAAGAATATTTGCAATGTGTATAATTTATTAGAAGCTTCTGATGAACTATATCGAAGCCAAATATCTACATAAGTTACAACAGAAAAAGGAGACGTGCGCAAATGACAAGCTGCCAAAGGCTTTCACACGGATCGGGCAATGTCCATAAAAAAAGGAGGGGCGGGGGGCGAGTTTCGTTTTGGTTGCTCGATTGTATTTTTTTTATACAACAAAATATACAGGTTACTAAAAACTAGGGGTTCAGTCCAACTTGTGACAGCATTATACAGCTACAGGTTCACATCAAACGCAAGGAGAAAAAAATCAAAATCATCGCCGCGCCGTGAGGAATCGGTGTCTGCATCCGCGGGCCCTGGCGGCGGGACCGGAGCGCGGCGCGGGCCGCTCCTTTGTCTGCTTTGGGGGAGACGGCCCACCCCGCCCCCCAGAATCTCTATATTTACAGACGAGTCCTATTCGCTGGCAAAGTGTACATTTGCAATCCAAGCCTTCAGACCGTGGCCACTCATGGGCTCCATTCTGCAACTGCTCCACCAATATTTTTAATACCCATTTAACAACCTAAAGTCACTCTCTCTAGTAGGGTTCCTCAAAGAACCACTCGTTAAAATGAAAAGGGGGGAAAAAAGAAAGAGAAAGGAGCACGATTGGGGGGAAAAAAGGAAAAAGGAAAAGGAAAGCAAAAGAAAAACCACCCAGTAGTTTGAACAGGACAGAGATTTGTGTGACTGGGAACATCTGATCTTTTTTTTAATCCTTTCACCAGGTCCTACCGTATAGCAAAGTAGAGCAAGACATGGCAGTGCCATAGTCAGAGCTAGAAGAGTTTAGGTGAGACAAACTGGAGACCTGGCTCTGCAGGGATGAAGGGCTGGCCGAGTGCTGTCCCATGTCTGGAGACTGCCCTGCACTGTTTGTCTGGTGGCTCTGATGCTGTCCGAGGCTGTTGCCATTGGTAGCCACCGTGATTGCTGTAGCTGCCTGCTGCTGATGGCTCTGGATAGCGGCTGTGGGGGTGTTGGAGCCTGCTTGGCATGGCTTGCCATCCTTAACAAGCACTGGCACCGCCACTCTCCGAGGAGACTGCTGCTGTTGGCACGAGCTGTTGTCCTGTTGCATCTGCTGCTGAGCAGCTTTGTCTTTGGCCTGGCGTTTCATCTTGTAGCGGTGGTTCTGAAACCAGATTTTGACCTGAGTGGGGGTGAGGTGGATCATGCTGGCTAAATGTTCCCTCTCCGGAGCGGAGAGGTATTTCTGCTGCTTGAAGCGTCTCTCCAGCTCGTAGACTTGGGCCTGAGAGAAAAGGACCCTCCGCTTCCTGCGCGGAGTGCTCTGGAGAGGTGCCATGCTCTTGCTCACGTCCCCCAGGGCGCTCAGGCTCCCCATGCCGCCCATGTTCATTCCAGAAGACGGCCCCATGAAGCGGGAGACTGCGGGCGAGAAGAGGGCACGGTGTAAGCACCACAGGCAGAGGCACAGCCAGACCCGCTCTCCCAGCCGGCCCCAGGCAGCCGCGTCCCCCCACCCCCCAGGAAGCGCCGCTCCGCACCCACACAAAGCGGGGCCGGCTCCGGCCGCCAGCGCCGGTCCGAGCCGCTCAGATCCGCGCTCCTGCCTCGCCGCCCCGAGCCCCTGCAGCGACACGGCGGCGCGGGCAGGGAAACGGTGTGCAGGCGCCGGGGCACTCGGGGACGGCTGGGCAG